ATACATCTCCTTACACAAATTTAAGTGAGAACAATCTATATAAAATTCCACATGACCATTCTACAATATCAAATTCGGCCATGAGAATCCAAAATTAGTAACATAGTAATGTTGGGCCAAGATTTGATGCAACTCGCCGTAATTGACTGCACAAGAATATCCAATTATTGAGTTACCTGTTTAATTGATAAATCATTACTTAGTCAAAGAAGGAAGACATGATCAGAACCGTAAAAGCGTATCCCGAATCAAGTCAAATAAATTCAATTGCCAGCCAAATCAGCCAATTTAAATCCAAAAATACATGTTATTTTATTTTCGGGAGCAACTTTTAGCCCCCTCTTCGATATGAATTAAAATCTATATTTCAATTTAAGTTAAAGTCAATATTAATTTTAACTACATATTTAATGAGTCTCACAATTTTTTAGTCACATATTTCACCTTTATTAAAATTTTTAAAAATCTGATTTTAATCCCTACCAAATAGTGGCTTAAACTGATGAGTGTGTTAATCAAATGACAGTGATTAAGCCCCCGTTTGACAACCATTATTTGAAAATTCTTTTTTTTACATACTCTTTTACAACCACATATTCACACAATATACTATTATACAAGTAAATTCAAATTTTTTTCTACTTTTTAATTGTATATTATCCTAAAAATTATTATTCAGAATATTATTTTTCTCAAATAATAGTTATCGTACAGGCTAAATGTCATAAAAAGATTTTTTTCTATATTTATTGAGCATATGTTTGACATGATTTCTACTTTTGTTTTTATGTAAAAGAACTTTCTCAAGAACTTACTTTAAGTCAACTTTTACTAAAAACTCTTCTAGCAAATAAAGAGCTCGTTTGATAGGATTTTTATTTCAACTTTCTGTAAAAGAGATTTCTGAAAAAAGTTATCTTAGCCCCTATTTGATGGCCATTATTTTGAGAAAATGGAATTTTGAATATTTTTTTTTTTGAGAATGTGTGGTTAAAAAGTAGTGAAAAGTTTAAGGTTTACGTGCACAATATTTTTATTGTGTAAATTTGTGGTTGAAAATAAATACGAGAATTAAAAAGTTTTGAAATAATAGTTGTCGGCTTAATTGATATTTGAAAACTAATTTCTTAAATAGCTTTCTCTTCTTGAAAAATATTGAATTAACTTTTTCTAAAAGTTTTTTTAACTACATGAAACACTTTTACAGAATTAACAAACGAATTTAAAAGAAGCTTTTGGATCTCATAAACTCATTTTGCCTTTTCAAATGCCCTATCAAACTTTCCCAAACGACTTCCAAAAATTATTCAAAGTGATCAAATTTAGCCCCTATTTGATATTCAAATTCTTTTTTCGATATACTTATTTTAATCACGTTCATATAATAAAA